ATCTTGGAAAAGTGTATAAAGCCCAAATATACATTTCTTTTTTTTTGATAAAAATAACTATATTTTCCAATAAATCTGACTTTAAAATATGGTATGAGGACATCAAATTCAATTTTTATGCCGCAAATGAAATTTATAAAGACAAACAAGGGTAGAAAAAAAACCATACCGGTATCCACAGGCCCTACTGAATACTTTGACACGATTTCACATTCTATGTTATCAAGTAAATTGAAGTAAGGTATCAGGCATAGCACTGAATTAATAAAAAGCTACCTTTCGTGTACAGTAGGGTGGCCCAAAAATTATTTTTTTCGTGTCTCTTGTGAAAATATGTTAGTTTATCATGTTTTAAGAGCCCCCTCAAAAAATCAGCTCAAAAAAATTCTTTTAGACTTCGCTCAAGATTTTTAAAAATTTCCAAAATCTAAAGCCTTTGAATGCTTCAAAATTTCACCACAAAAAGAAGAGCTCTCAAGCTTTACATTTTAAATGGGACGCCCGCGATTGCAAATTTTTAAAATTTATATCTAGAAAGTACTCGGAATAACAAACCTATTAGTTCAAAAAACAACCCTTCTACCCTTATAGTTTTGCTGTAAATAAGGATTAACTTTAATGGGCTATAACTTTGAAAATAATGGGTGGATCATCAGTTTTTTTTTTTAAATACTCGTCTTTCCGAGTACTGTCAATATTTTAAAATACAAACAAATTTGAAAAAACATTAAATTATTGCAATTGTTTATAAGTGTGAAAATTGCGAAAATGTTTAAACAATCACCACGGCTCACCTAATCGTCCGATTTGAATTTTTCAAAAAGTATTTTAAAGCTTGACAGCTCTTCTTTTTGTGGTGAAATTTTCAAGTATTCAAAGGCTTTAGATTTTTAGAAATATGATTTTAAAAAAAAATTTTAATTAAAAAAAAATTAAACAATTATTATGTAAAAACTATCGAACCGAATTGGATGAAATTTGATATGATGATTTTATACACTAAGAAGTTTAATTGGGAACAGTATGAAGATCCTAGGTATTATTCAAGTGTCTGAAAAAAATTGACAAATAAACTAGCATTTCTTGCAATTTTTTAAACGATTTTTCCGATTCTTGCAACAACAATAATTATTTTTTCAAATTGCAACTAACTCTATCTTGTTCAAAATTTAATTACAAAACTTTTTTTCTCTTCCATTTTTGTCTAAAACGAATAGTTGCTAAGTTGTCGACGAGAAATCAAGAAAAAAATGAATTTTTTGCTATTTTTTTGCAATAACAGTTAAGCCCACGTTTTTTTTATTTGCATAGAAAAATTATCATTTCTGATGTTATTTAGAAGACGTTAAAGCAAAAATCTCCGATCATATGCGTTTTACCCAACCCGAAACAGATACCGCCTGGACTATTAAGGTATCTTGGGTATTACGCACATGATAGTAATAAGCCGAGGTCAATAGTGTACTTCCCGAGGCTCTCCGGACCAAGAAATCTTCGTCAACCAAGGACATTATTATCCTATAGCACCCGTGATACCTCCAACATTTTATTCTTATTTTTTTTACATATAACAGGTAGAACATTTCGTTCACATTTAATCTGTATTGTCATTAATAAATGTTACTAATAATTCCAATTGGTGTACTGATTTCCATTGTAATACTTTTTAAATTTGTCCCAGAGCATCGTAGATATTTATGTGTTAGGACGTTATTCCTCATTTAATGTGTCTCTAAATAGGATGAATATTGCAAAATTACAGAGTAGTAAGACATTAATCTAAATAACGTTTGATTTTAATTCATTTTGTTATTGCAAAACTGACGATAAGAGTTTTACCAATCAATAACTAAGACTAATAACAAATGAATGCACTCACCTGTAAACTAGGATGACACTGCAGGTCCAGCAACATCTTCACCACCCCGATGTGCCCCTTGTTCACCCCGATGTGCAGAGCGGTTTGCCTCCTCTTGTTCCTCGCGTTCAGATCCGCGCCCGCGTGAGCCAGAAGTTGCACGACGGCCGGTTCGTCGCCGAACGCAGCGTGGTGTACCGCCCGATCACCATCTTTGTCCTCGATCTCGACGTCGGCATGAAAACGCAGGAGGACCGTTATAACTTCCAAATGACCATTTTGACTGGCGGCTTGCAGAGCGGTATGCCCAGCGAATACCCCGTTCACGTCGGGGCCTATGCCTGCGCCAGCGGTGTTGCTCTGTTTCAAGACTTCCTCACATTTCTGAGCGTCACCGTTGGCCGCTGATTTCACCAGCTCTTCGTTTACATCGCCGGAAACGTGGGTTTCGAACAGCTTCTTAAGCAGGGCGCTTAGGCGTTCGCCGGAGGTCGTGCCGTGCATCGTGCCGTCTTTACTGGCTAGCTTGGTGACGGCCAAGGGGTTGTAGGTCCATGTCGTGTTGCACACTTCGACTTTCAGGTCGTTGTCGTTGTAGATTTGCTGGACGTGACCAACTTTTCCAAGTGTCTGCAATGAAAAAACAATTTCATTTGCAAGCGTCGTTTAGTAGCGATTTTTCAGTTGTCGGTTTAATGTTCAAACAATAACCTTTTAAGCACTCATGTCTAAAAGTGACAGGTACGCGAGAGCGCAAATGGCTCCCGTGTACAATGTATTTCCTTGTCGTGAAGATACAACGCAAAACAGCTGGTTCGTTCGTCGGTTGTCTCGCCTATGACACACTAATGAGAACTAATAAGTCCGAAACTGGTCTGTGTCTGGTGAGTTAAACTGACGAACGACCCTTGCTGTTGCACTAGGTGTTGTGAGTATATTTCAATGCCGGTAGGGGCATATAGCTCTTGGAGTAGTTGTTTCTCGCAACACTGACAATTAAAACAAAAGTGACAGGGTTGTAGAACTTGATGACAAGGTACAAGACGTTGTGTTTGAAACTTCCCAAACCGATATCTCGAAAACTAAAGATAGGTTTCTAAAATTTCTAAAAAGTGTTGTCTAATTTTTGTAGTTTATATAAATAAATCCAAGAGTAGATACAAACGAAATTTCTATAGTGAAATGTGTTAATTTTTTTTTGTAGACCGACTATTAAAAGATATTTTTTTAAAATCTTTTACATGTTTCAAAATAAGTTTTTAATTAAGAATTAAACTATTAAAATTTATGTTACTTACCGCTGCCATCCCATCGGCCCAATCGCCATGTCCCCTTTGCAACATTTTAACCCTTTCCATGTCTGCACAGATCTGTACAACGTCCCCAACTGCGAACTGTTGTTGAGGAGTTTCATTAAACCCAGCGGAATTTGTGGGTGTAGCGACCTTAGTCAAAACAGCAGGATTGAAGGTCCACTTGTTCCCGCTGCTGTATGCCACCACGATGTCATGATCTTCATCTATTCCTACAACGGTTCCAATGCTGTTCAAACACTCAAACATCCCATCAGTCCACCCTCCATGACCATGTTGCAAGGACTGCACGATCTCCAGCTCCAAATCAACGTTTACTTGGTCTCCAATCTTTAACCCTGGCGGAGCTGATCTTCCGGGACCTTGCTCGCCCAGGCACGGTAAATGGTCACGATACACATTCTGACCCTTCGCATCGTTCACAACTTTTAAATCGGCCATACCCTCGAATCCAACACGGTACAAGTTTTTGGATCCGTTATCCCACACGATATAAGCGGCGGATCTGGGACTTGCTGCAGACCAATCCTGAATTTCTTGTACCTTACCGCGGCGACCGTTACCCCCGTCTTGGTCCTCCCACTGCCAGTCAACACCACGCACAACACGAGCTCCCGGAAAGATGCCACGGATGGCGATCTTCTTGGTTTTTCTACGAGTTTCGAGGTAAACGCGTTCACTGCCTGGTGTAGTGATACGATAAAAACGGTGGCGCAGCTGGTGCTTATCCCCGTGATAACAGACTGAGCACAGATCATAATTTCCACATTCAGCGCATTTCCAGCGAATGCCAAAAATTGGTTGCTGCCTGCAAGTATCACACATGGTTCCTTCATGCTTAACGCCTGTGGGGGCACTATCCAGTATTCTCAAATCATACTGGCCTGAACAGCGGTAGTTAGCAGCTGTACCGTTGTCCCAAACAACAACTACTTCATCGGGGGACTCAAAATTTCTAACGGTGCCAACATGACCTTCTCCACCATCCTAAAACATGAAACAAACGTTATACAAACGTTTACAAGTAATATTAAGGTACTGATTTAGTTTATTAATTAGATAGGTCAGTTTGTATAAACCTAACCTGTTTTCCCCATTTCCAATCAGGTCCTCTAATTACTCTTGCCCCTACGCCTTCCATCATTCTGGGGTTGCGAGGGACCCCCGGTGCTGTCCCCACAGCGTTAGCAATTTCCATCTTTTGGAAATATTTATTTATTCCTTGAAATGTTCAACAAAACCACCCTTTCACTACACCACTGTACGTATTTATTTTGCTTTTTGACTTGATGCTTTCTGTAGCACTGAACAGGACAAATACGGTCAATAAACGTTGTGCTGTGACAAGATCAACAAGCTAATGAAAGAGGCAGAGGAAGAGCGCTGTCTTACTTCTTTGTAGATACGTGATTGGTGTAGCCAACCACAACTTCTCGTTAATCCAATGAATTGTTGAAACTGTCAAGTAATTAGTTCTTAAACTTGGCGCTAGTGTAGACTGAATTCACGTGTAGAGGGCTCTCCAGAACATGTTTCGAGCTCACTGGACTTAGAATCGGCAGTTTACGGTTTGGTTTGTGACAGCCGATCTTGCCCGATTTTGAAATTGGCGGTAAAATTAGACTTCAAAATATTTATTGTGTGGAACAATGATTTTTTCTAAATTAACTTTAAATACGTTACTTTTTATCCGTCGTATAAAATGTTATTGTTTTTCGAGAAGCTGAAAGAGAAATAGTAATAAAAAATATTTGAGACTTTAAATATTCATTTTATTATAAATAGACAGTTGCATAACAATAAAATAATTAAAAATAACTACGTATATGAAAATATTTTACTTATATAGTCACAATAGAACATTAAATTAAAGGCTATAGATAAAAATAAATTCAGTAATATCAAAAATATCACGAAAATAGAAAACAAGTACGATTTTTTCACTCTAACTTATAGAGTTACATTTTCCAACAACAATATATTTGGAATAATTTCATGATATAACATTTTCATATTCAACTACATACATTTATAAATTCGGTTTAAAATAATGCTGGGTTAAAGCCTTTATCAAACAATCATAAATATAAACAATCACAGATCAGAAAGCTAAGTTTTGTCATGTTCAAAATACATGCTGAGATATTTTAAAACTTTAATACATCAACCATCTAAAGAGATAATGGTATTGTTAACTTCAATCCAGCATCCGACTGACGACTACATACAAAGATGAAACAGCAAAGTTCAATTTGCTAACACTAATGTACTTTTGAATAATGCGCCTTCAGATAGCCGGGACTTTTAAAATACCTATTGCATTTTTCGCACTTGAAACTCCTATACAAAAATTGGTTTTTTAACGCGGGGTTAATATAGGGGTTGTCACGCGTTCTGCATCGAAAGTTACTCTGAGAAAACGTCCTTCGCGGGTTCTGATGATAACCGCCCACCAAATTATCTAGTAATTGTATAGAAGAATTACTTGGACAACTTCTTGTAAAACCACTAAAACTGCCCGACAACGAACGAGATATGGTCGGATAATAATGATTTATGGAGTTCTGCTCTTCCTCTTTCTTACATTCAACTTCAACGTATGGGTCGTACAGATATTCCCCATCCTCCTCAAAATCCATCTCGGTTTTTATTTTAATATCTGGCTCCACGATCACCTCCTCAAACTTAACTAGGTTTTCTTTCGTGTCCTCTTCCTCTAGGGGAGGATTAAAGAAATCGTCCTCATCACTATCACAACTTTCATATAAATTATCTTTATTCTCAATTATGTATAAAATTGTATTCTTAAATTCTGAGAAATCTTTTCTAAAGAATTCATTCGAAAACACTTTTAATTTGTCTAACGGAGTGGGTTCGTAATTCGAGTTTTTATCTACTTTTATACCAAATTCATAATTCTTTGTAAAATGAATTATATTTTTCAATCCTCCCTTGTAATTGCTGCAGACTAAAGAAGGGTCATACACATACTTGTCTCTTTCTTTCTTGAACTTTTCTGTAGGTGTAAGAAGACGCTTTAGAAGCGAACAACGTTGCTCTTTGGTAATCCTTTTCCTTTTCTCTCGATGTGTCTGCATATGATTATTATCGAAGCTGTTGCAGTTATGAGCATCATTGACAAATCCGGAGAGTGGTGTAACGACAACATTTAATTCTGTTTTAACAAAATTTTTTGGAGTTATATTTTCATCAGTCGCACAAAGCAGGGCTTCTAAATATCCCTGAAGTGTTTTTGTAGACTTTTTACACATATCATGGAACTGGTAGGATATCCTTAGCTTGGTTATGCAGTGCACACAGATCTCCCTTGACAGACTTTCTCTATTGACAACCTGAGACAAAAAATCAATAGGTCAAATAATATAAAATTACAAAATATACAAAATATTTACCATTCTAGTGCAAACTTCGAGTTTTTCACTTAACTTGACCTCGTCGAAATCTAAAGTGTCGAGATCTAATAATTTTACACCTGTCTGAATGCATATTCGACAGAATTTTGAAATATAGTACATTATTTTTTATAAAAATATTGATGTCAATCATCCGTTGTGTCAAAACGTCACCTGTCAGTCTCGTCACCTCGGTAAACAAAACAAGTGACATTTCCGCTGCCAACTGATGAAAAATTAAGTTGTTCGAAAAATGTACGGGGAGGTTGGTGGACTTGCTTGTCAGTGCGTTTGTTGGTCGGCTCGTGAAATTTGTGGTGACGTTGTTCGACGTGTCAGCTTAAATAACTGTTCCAGTTGAATCTGAGATATCACTTTTCACTTTGCATTAATAAGAAGAAGTGTATTACTTTGTTGACAATCATCTAACAAAATGGTAAGTACTGCATGTTAAATGTTATAAAATCGGTCATCTAATTCAAGAATTCGTACATTTGTTTTGTTAGCCTGCATCTCCAAGTGCTACAAATGTAGGAGCTGGTGGAAGGTCTCCGTCAAAAGCTGTAGCCCCTAGGTCTTCCGCAGGTGGAAGTACTGTTAGACAGAGGAAGACCACCACAACAACCACAGCAAGGCGAAATACAGGTGCAGGAACTGGGGGCATGTGGAGATTTTACACAGATGACTCCCCTGGAATTAAAGTGTAAGTATTTTTGCCATATTGTTTGCTTTCCATATACCTGAATAATTAAATCAGTATAAAGAACGCTTTCATTTAGAGTATGAGAAGAAATTTGACAAAATATTTTAACACAGGAAATATAAACTAAACATATTTTAAATCGGTGTACTTCACATTTCTCTTTTAACTGAATATGCCTATAGCATTAGTATATAAGTTGATGCTTAAATTTTCTGCCTACTTTTTTAGCAGATGTTTCGGAATTTAAATTTTTTGTATGTTTAAGTCGTATATTTTTTTTCGTAGATTTATATACTCATGTTTTTTTTTCTTTTGGCAGTAAAAACACGATATGAAAATCTATTAAATGGCAGTGTATTGTCGTCTTTAGGCTTAACTTTTGTTGTAATTCTCCCAATGTGAAGCAAATATCCGTAATTTTGTATATTTTGTTTATTTTCAGAGGTCCATTCCCAGTATTAGTAATGTCGTTGCTGTTCATTGCTTCCGTGTTCATGTTACACATATGGGGAAAATATACAAGGTCTTAAAATAATTTATTATCATTCCTACTTCAAAATAATTTAATGCATTTTCATTTATAAATATTTTATATTGTTAGATTGTTGTAATAACTGAACTGTGTATAATATACATTTTTCATATCTAACCTATAGTTTATTTATTTATATAGAACACAAATTTTTACGTAACCTATAATATTCTCATCACATTAAACTGTAGAAAAATGAACTTAATGTCATAAATACTACTACAGACAGTATCTTATCGAGGCACAAGAATAAAATGATATCACAGAATACAGGATAACTCAATTTCTGTGCATTTTATCTCTATTGAAGGTACGATGCCATGTTTTTGAAAATAAAACTTGACAGGCTGTTTTGCAAGATTGAGGTTATGTAATAATTTTTCCTGCCAACTTGATGTTAAAATTCTGATTATCTGATAGGCTGTGTTCTTTTGTTCATCATTTTGATTCTGTACAGCCATTCGATTCAGACACTAGGATTATTTAAACAGGCCAATAGTACATTGATGAAATGCATCACGCCAAAACCATTGCTTGTATGTACATATAACCTATAATAATTAAATAATGGGTATTAGTACTTGTGGATGATTAGTAGATGGCACAGTGGATGTGTAACTCCATAATTTCTCACTCACTTACGATATTTTACTACGTTTCAAAATTCAAGAGTTATTCCCTGGACTATTCTAAGCATATTTTGTCCTCCTCTTTCTTAATCTATAAGAACTTTTGAAAATGACTACTCCAGCTAGGATGCAAGACTCCAATCTTCTCCTTGACTGCCGAACTCTTTCAAAAACGCCAGGGTTGTTTCTTATTGCGTTACACCCAGAAATTATCTGATTTCTGGAGTAGTATAAACTAATGACTAGATGGCCCAATAGTAAATAATTCATTGGGTTTATGTACGCGGATTGAACAGGACATAAATGAGGTCCTACTCAACCAATCCAGTGAGTTAAAAACTCACGAGTAAATTCACTGGTGCACCATCATGAATAAACCACATTGCATTTCTTGTTGCCAATAGTACATCCTAAAGAAACTGAGGTAGCGTTTGTTCCAAAAAATTGCAATACACCTCACCGGTAAGTCTTCCTGGTAGAAATACCGATCGAATTAGCTAGTCATCCACAATTCCAACACAAACGTTTGATGAGAAATGATGTTGAAAATGATCTTAACACGTTGACTGCGAGATAATCTCAACGTACTTTGTCCGTGACTGCGATACATATCTTCAGGGATATGTAACAAAACTTCTTCTGTGTGCGGTACATATCACTGGGGATATGTAATGTTTTTTACATTTGACTATAAAATTAAAAATAACACAATTATTGCTATAAACTTGCATGTATCTGTAACTATCTATCCTAGGATACTAACGTTTTCATTCGCAAAGAGTTTTGAAAAGAAAAAAATAGAAAAATCATTATTTCTAAAAAGTAGACTCTGCAACTTCCACAAGATACAGTAAAAATATGATTATTGAGATTCGCATATTTTTTATAATGAGTACATACCCCCCGAGGTATGTACCGCAGTCAACGTGTTAAAGTACCTCATGGATTTTCGTCAGCCCACACATGGTTATTGTGAAAATTCCTTATCGCATTTCTTGAGAAATTCGCTTCATCGGTAAAAAGAATCAGCGTCAGTAGTTGAGGTAGCTGGAGGTAGTCATTTTCAACAGTTCTTGTATATTAAGAAGCTCTACATGTAATTTTCAGTAATAAATTGTTATTGTCGAAAATTTTTTTCGCCCTGTGTGTTTGGAACAGAGCGGCTTTTCAAAAATCATCAAAGGACAAAATATTCCTAGAATAGTCCAGGGAATAACGCCTTTAGTGCAGCGATTTGAAGAATCTTTGTCATTTTTTTTTTTTTTGGCGCAGAATCAGGTCAGACATGGTAGGTTTTATTAAACATGTGTTTGGGCATATGATATCATATTTTATGACATTTTTTCTTGGTTTGAACCTTTTTAATTAAGAAAAAATGAATAAATTGTATTTTAAATAAAATGTATATTTTTTTCGTTTCCACAGTCATATTTTTAAAACTAATAAAACTATTGAATTTTTTGTTTTAAATTAAAGGACACACAATAGTGCTTTTAACAGCACTAATGGATTTTATAACTCGCTTTTTCATTTCGCTAAAAATCAGGAAAACTTGAAATTTAAATTATGTGTAATCTTGAATTCTAGATCTTTGTACTACAGATTTGACATCATCTTGCACAGTTTTCTTACAAATAATGCACTCATTGTCTTAAAAACTTAATTATTCTGATGATTATTACACTGCTTATTAGGCACGTACCTACTCCAAATCCCGCAAGCCGTACACTACGTAGATTACACATTACGTTGGACGGCCCATGCATCATTTTAGCACGCTATGAAATAATCGCTTGTTGCCAAACTATAAGCCTTAGGAAAAAACTAATTATTTCAAAAATTTATGTAATGTTTGGGCTTCATTTTCTTCGTTGCATGCATTAAAAAAATCATAAATAAAAAAGTTTATCGATTGATGAAAATTGAATTACACAAAATTTAAATTTCAAATTTTCCCGATTTTTAGCGAAATAAAAAAGCGAGTTTTATAATATCCGTTAGTACTGTTAAAAGCGCTATTGTGTCTGCTTTAATTAAAAAAAAAGATTACTCTGATAGTACAATTATTTTTTGAGATACAACGGTGGAGAACTTAAAAAACATATTCTCGTAAAAATATTTTTTTTTAATTTTTTCGAAATTAAAAAGATCCTGACCATCAAAAAATGTGGTAAAAAGTTGTTTCGTGTACACGATCACCTAATTAAGAAATCACACCAAGTCCGATTTGGTACGCGTTTTTTTTTTTGAAAACTAGGCGACAGCATTGCAATTTTGCTCGTCTACTTGAATTTTTGCCTTATGTTTAATAAACACCTTGTATGTTTTGGCTTTACAACTTTTTTCAACAGACTAAAAAAAAGTATACATTTATGCATAAATTTTGATTGATATCTTTAGTTTGTTGTACTTGTTCTTTGAGCACATATGCAGTCATAAAATTCCAGTGCCTATGCAGATTTCCGTGGTTTATTAATCCAGTTGATAATGCAGATGGCATTGAGTGCAAAAAAGTCAAAGATGCTGTACGAGTCAACCAGCAGTTTAGCCAAAGCAGCTCCTTTTCTCGATTTTCCCATAAAATATTAATAAAATTCCCCTGTTAATATAACTTTGACAACTTCCACTAACATTTGCGCACAATTCCATTTTTAAAAACTCTTATTGGAATAATATCAATTTATTTTTCTCACTTGCACACATATGGCATGGATGCAAACGCCTAAGCTGAGAATTGACAAATCGAGGAGTCAAACTTGCAGAAATTAAGAAATTGTTCTTTCAGATTATTCAACTCTAGCAATTTTTAGAAGGACTATAAGTAATTGACTATAATATAACTTTGACAACTCTCACTAACACTTGCGCACAAATCCATTTTTAAAAATTGTTGGAGTAACTAAAATATAAATTTATTTTTCTCGCTTGCACGCATATGGCATGGAAGCAAACGCCTAAGCTGAGAACTAACAAATCGAGGAGTCAAACTTGCAGAAATTAAGAAATTGTTCTTTCAGATTATTCAACTCTATCCTTCTAGTCCTAGTCCTTCTTTTAGGACTATAATTGAACGTTACGTTAAAACTAGTAAAAAAATACCTTTCTAATTACTTTTAATAACATTTTTTTTAGAAATCTTAGCATGTTATCAAGTTTATTTCATTTGAGGTTCTATAGCAAATAGGCAACCAGTAATACATTTTTATAGATTTTTTTAGAAATCTTAGCATGTTATCAAGTTTATTTCATTTAAGGTTCTATAGCAAATAGGCAACCAGTAATACATTTTTATAGATTTTATTACAGTTTTTCTAAATATGAATTAATGCACAAATAACAGACTTTCCTCCATTTTAACGCAGATTTTCTATAAAATAGAGTTAGTTTCAAACTCAAATTATTATTTGATGTAAAGAAATTTGTAATTTACTATTCCAAAAGCGGCAAATTACAAATTGCTTTACAACAAAAAGTAATTTGAGTTTCAAACAAAGTCAATTTTATAGAAAATCTGTGTTAAAATGGAGAAAAGTCTGTTATTTGTGCATTCTCATATTTAGGCAAAACATGCAATAAAATCCGTAAAAATGTATTACTGGTTGCCTATTTGCTACAGAGCGCTCTCAAACGAAGGAAATCCCCCACCTCCCCAGAATAAAACACAAAATTAATCTAATCAGTATATTTAATCCTAATATATTTACACCATACAAAATATTTCCATGATATACTCTTCTACAAATTAAGTACTTGTCTTGAATATTTTAAATAAAAAGAATTGGACCAACGATCAAATTGACAAGTATTACAGAATCTCTCAACTCGCGACAGTCTTTTAAAGACGAAACTCGAAAACGTAACAAAGTAAACAACAATATACATAACAAACAACTCGGAATCTCCCTACGCTGTTACAAAACTACAACATTTTGTAATCGAAAGACAAATATCCGGAAATCTCCGAGAGAACCAGTAAAAAGGCCAAGATATAAGCGACTGCATGAGAATATGCATTTAATTATAAATATAAATTTGTTCTTATTTACAAAAAAAATATATATCTTCTAAAGTAAAGCTATGTATAAATAAAAAAAATTAATAATATATAAATAACAAATAACCTACCGTACTCTCAGTAATATTTTACAAGGCAAATACAAAATATTTTACAATTTGCTATTTTACAGTTACGGAAATGCACGCAGCTACAACTTTTTTACGGATACGGATCGGTTTGTCCGCGCCACGTTTCAGGAGGCGTACAATTGGACGATGTCGCTCTTGTAATGCTCCTCGATGTCTTTCCTCTTCAGTTTGAAAGCTGCCGTGACGAGGCCCGTGTCCGGCGACCACACGTCCGTCACCAATTTCACAGCTGCGGGAATCTCGAATTTCTCTAGTTTACCTGCAAAAATACACGGTCACCGTAAATCGTAACAAGATATCGTCTGAAATTAATTATTTAATTTTTTCTCTATTTATTTGCCAGCCATTTTTCATTGCTGTTAAATTTTTTTCACTAGAGGCAAAATACCCAAATAAAACAAAAAAATCATCATAACCTACAAAATGTATTAGAAATTACAAGAAGGGCGACTTTCAACAAATTTTGAAGAGTTTGTTCTATTTCCCGAGGAGATAAAATGTAATTACGATTCCTTGGACTCAATTTTTGAGAAAACATGTTAGGTATAAGGAGCAATTCTAATCTGTGCCATTAAATTTTAAAAGTTAAATTCTGACAGGGTTAAAATTCAATCAGTATAGTAGATAATAAAATATTTTATCGACAACTCGTAACAAAGTGATTTTTCGACACCTCACATTTGAGTTCCTTTTGATTTATTTTTAATAAATGTAGTTTACCACCCGACATTTTGCATTTTTAACGTCCCTGAATTAACCCGGCACCGCGTAGCGCGGAGTTGATGGACTGCTAGCCCGCTTCGCCCAAATCAGTCTGTCTCCAGCCGTCACAGCAACAACTCCAGCCAGCAGATAAGTCACCGTCACAGGAAAGTAAGAATTTTACAAGTTCCTCGTAGAAGAAATACGCAGCCGATGTAGAAGCATTACCAGGGCTTACAAATTAAGCCGCCGTCGCAGATGGAGTTCAACACCACCCTTTGCAGCGACAAGTCGAGCTGTCAGCCGTTCCAGCGAGAGCTACGTCACCAATAGGAATTGGCAAGACTTCACTAAGTTTAGCCTGAGGAAACTGTGCAGTCGCCAGGATTCGCCGTACGATACAGCAAACAAGCTGCATTCGAATAATTAGTCTACGAGCCGTCGTAGAGTCCAGTCGAGTTGTCAGCCGCCCCGCCCAGAGATATGTCACCACTGGAAGTACACGAGATTTCTACAAGTCCAGTTTAGAAGAACTGCGCAGCCGCCAATCCGACACGAGAAACTTAGGATACCAACTGAATTTGGAAATTCAGTTCATCGACAGCCGCCTCAGCAACTAGTCGAGTCCCTTCACTTCTCCAGCCCAAGCTACGTCACCGATAGGAATTGGTAAGATTCTGCCAAGTCCAGCCTGAGAGAACTGTGCAGCCGCCAGGAGTCGCCGTATAAACACTGCCAACAAGCTGCTTTTGAAGAATCAGTTGACATCGAGCCGTGGCAGCGAGCAGTTGAGTTGAGTTCATCTCCAGCCATCTCCAAGACCAGTCCAATTCGAAAACCGACAAAGTAGGCTAGGTTCCGTGCATATTCAATGCGCAAGTCTCTCGAGGTGACAAGAGATCTGACGAGGTAATTGTACCGCAGAGTTAGTTCCGGTCCAGCATTCTGACCGTACCAGACGTGTCCAGGAAAGGAAGGTAGTAATCTAGGACTGTATAAAGGTAGAATAGAACTGTCAAAAAATGTAAATATTTATCAATTTGTGACTTTTATTCCTGTGTAAATTCTAAGTCTCTCTAGACCCTCTGGACATACCGTGTCTTCACTGTAGCCACCCGAGTAGTGGTGTTTCTGCACTATAAACAGAAACTGGGGCCTGAGGTAACCGCCGCCGTTCAGGCGTCATAGTGACAGAGAAGTAAGCAAACAAACAAGACGTCACAAACTGAAACGTTTTCACAAGGGACAAAAGAGTGAATAAATTAATTTCAATAAAATATTTTATCGTTGTGTAAAACATTCTATTTTTTCCTATAGCAAATTTTAAAAGGAAAAAACAACTGTTATTTTCCTCTGCTCTGCCAGTTCTATTTTGTGTTACCTTTTTCTTCACAAAGTGAAAATAGAAATGTGAGAAAACGAATTTGAATCCTTTAGACATGAAACAAGATGCTTTGGAGAGTGTGGGAAAACTATTATAGAAATATACAGGGTGTTCCTAAATAAGTGTCGCAACGGAAAGCTGTAAATTCCTCTTGAAAAAAGAAACATTCTTCTCCTCTTCCATTTTTCTCTCCGGGCTTTCGTTTTCGAGATACACAGTGTCAAAACTTTGTTTTATTTATTTTTCTCGCCAATATCTTAGGAATTGTTTGAACTACAGGACTGAGCTTTTGTACATACATTATTGAACGTGCCAGTGGTGGATATTTTAAGGTATTGTAAGGGTTTCTCCCCCCCTAAATTTTACGCCACTGGAAAAACTGACTTTTGACAGCAAATTCTAAAGCGCCAATGAATTTTACACAATAAGAGTTCTCTTGGTTCATTGCTCTAAAGTCAACCGTTTTCAAGAAAAATGACTTTTTATGAACAAAAGCAAACATTTTGCTAACGTTTCAAAAATTTTTTACATTTTGCATTTTGAACATTTTGCAAGTGCAAGTAACTGAACTGTCTACGCCTCCGCCTGCGGTTGGCGATTGGCAATAATTTGTTGGGGTCCCCGGCTAGTGAGACTCCTGGGAAGGCGTAGAACATTGTAATGCGGAGAAAACTAATTAATTTTTGTTTGGTTTTTTACGAATTCTTTTTATGGGTTGAGACTTTTTGTAAAAAAGTCACAAAAACTTTCGTAGAATAAATAAAAGTCGGATTTATGGATTTAACGTGGCCCGAGATTCAATTGCCGATTCATTTGTGGAGTGCGGTGTAAAACAAGAAAGACTAAAAACTAACTGACTGAAAACTAATTGAAACTTAAAACTGCAAGTGGTGTAACTGTGTAACTGCGAAGGACTAACTCCCTGACTGACGACTGCAAGTGGTCTAATTAATTTTGGTCGGACGGGGACTGAACGCCGTTCGCTGCTGCCTGCGACGTTCTGTAGGGCCCCCTGCATGGATGATTTGTGCTTGTTTTACATTAGATTTAATGTAAAATCGTTGGTTCGGTGACAGAACAGAACATCCGGAGAACGAAATGCATCTTTTATGAAATCCATGTCAATACTATCGAAAAGTTGACCGATAGAGGTGAAACCGCAGCGGCAGAAAGAAACATGATTAGAAGATAATTTTGAACAGTTTCAGTCCTGTAGTTCAAACGGTATAGGCGAAAAACTAAAAAAAAAATTAAAGTTTTGACACCATGTATCTCGAAAACGAAAGCCCGGAGAGAAAAATGGAAGAGGAAAAGTATGTTTCTATTTTCAAGAGGAATTTACAGTTTTCCGTTGCGACACTTATTTAGGAACACCCTGTATACGTTGATATACAAAAAAAAATATGCCCACTTTCAAAAGTGAAAAAGCGCAAATGTAAATGGTGTGGCTCAATGCTGATGTGAACATTGCTGGTAAATGAAAATGGTGATGTTTCAAAGTAACTAATGCGTCTGATGAGACCCCTCCATTAAATAACACTTCGTAATGTTTTCAGACACAGCGAACTGATTACATTGCTAAAGAAATTGATGGTTACAAAGAATCGAAATGTGGTACTTGGCAGGCAAAAAAAAACAAAGGGGCATTAATTTGGAGAAAAGTGAATTAAAACTTATACCATGTATAAAAATAAAACGTACTTTACAAAAAAAAAAAAAACCCAATCACAAAAATTTCAAATTTTCATGAACAAAAAGAAAGTTATTTAAGAACAAAGAAACAAAAATTTGTTTTTTTTTTCTATCTCCTCTGGAAATACAAGAATATCCTCACAAGAAAATATTGGCCCAATGTCCGACGTTTAATTTCTAAAAGAAAAAACACTTACTCTTCTTTCCGTGATCTGCCAGTTCCTGGAGGACGGACTTCGCAAACTCCTTATCCGAACAAAGCTCCTCAAACTCCTTGCCTTTGATACCTTTCTTCTCCGCCAGTTCGTTCAACTGCGGTGGATTAGGTACGACAAGTGCGACACAGAAATGTTTGGTGGAATCTCCGTAAACGCAAATATTATCCACTAGCGGGCACGTCTTCAGCTGCGCCTCAACCTTGCCTAACGACACGTATTCGCCCGCCTGCAGTTTCACCAAATCCTTCTTACGATCTGCAAGAAAAAACACAAATTCAAAGTAAATAAATATTAGATCGAATTTTAAAAAAGTGGTCTTACCGATAATTTTAACAACACCGTCCTCGTGGATCTCGCATATATCGCCAGTCTTGAACCACCTCTTGCCCTCGGCCTCGACGAAATCCTCGTTGGTCTTATCCGGGAGCTTGTAGTAGCCGGCGCTGATGTTGTCGCCACCTATTATGACCTCGCCCCGAGGATACGGTTTATCCGTTACCCTGTAGTTGCCCTCTTCCCAACTCACTAACTTAATATCACATATCGTACATGGAGCGCCGACACGACCAAAGGTATTATCGTAAACTGAAAAAAATATGCATAAATTCTTGGAAGAGTGCAGTTAACCTGTGGTACTTTTTTTCTCAAAAACATAGTCTTGATGTCACAGTAAGGAATCTATAATTTTTATATATGGACATAATTTTAAGTGAGTCAGTTTTTTTTACTAAACAGAAAAAGTCTTACAACTTCTTTTCAGTGGCATCAAAACAGGGATATGTAAAAAAATTGCCAAAGCGCCACCTGGTGGTAAAAACACAACTAAACATTTTTTATCTAGCTTTAGATTTGAGGGACAACCACTAAAAAACACATTATACAAGATATAGTCCAATCAAATTAAATTTTTACGTGCCAAAATTTAGTTCAGTAAACAAATACACATAAAAATTAGGAAAAATTCCGTAGAATTGAATGAACTACTTTACCACAGCTGAATGCTACGGCTTTATTTTCAGATTGGCGTCCAATGTTTGCAAAAAACAGTTTTTTCATTAAAAAAAAACTAAACATATTAGAAAGAAAATGTTTTAGACAAAAGTTGTAGAACTTTTTATAAAAAAAATCTTGAGCCCAGCCCGATGTCAATTGATAAACAAATGTATTAATTATTGCAAAAAAATGGCTAAAAACCGAAATTTTCCAAAAACTTCTATATCTTTAAAACGAAAAAAGATTTTTTTACGAAACTCAGAATATTTAGTCCTTGGCAAGTAGAATAAATGCATTTTTGTAAAATTGCAAAATATTTTATGGTTTTTGCAAAAATTGAGTTTTACATACATTTTTTTCGAGTTTCAATAAATCATACAGTAATGCACTTATGTGACTCACCTTGGGCTTAAAATTTTCTCTAAGAATTGTACTTTCCCCTGCAAATTGTGCGCGTGTTACAAAATAATTGGAAATATGCGAAAAATCTACCGAAACTGACTTCTTTTTTTGGTTCGAAAACTTATGTTTAAAGTGTGATGATAATGATTGCTCAAATATTGAAGAACAAACTGTAGTTCTTGAAGATATCAAAGAAGATATGGACGAGCCGTGTTCAACGGAAAATGAAATCCAAACAGACGAAGAAAACTTTGATGATATTGAAAATGACGAACAAGAAATTGCATTGAACAGTGGTAGTAAAGAAGAATCGAGGCCTAAGAAACGTTGAGAAATAAATTAATATAATTTTCATACAATTAGCAAAATAATTGTTCCTATACTGGTTTTTATATTTATATATATATTTTTAATAAATTGTTATTTTTTCTATTTTTTTTTTATTTCTTGAACTTCTACATTACTTTTATTATTTTATGAATCTAATTAATGTATGTATATTAAGTAAATTCAAATTAATTACTGACAAAAAGTTTAATAAATGTACAAGAAAAGAAAAAATACGCTCAGTTCATTCACGTAGGATCAATAAATACAAGAGAGAGATACAAGAGTCGCGTCACAGTCTTTCTCCCTCCACCACACGTATTGTGTCGAGCGGAGCACGAATTTTACGGGTCCCAACAAAATTGAGTTTATTGTAAAAAAAAAGGATGTCAATCATTGCAGACTATTTTTTATATTGAAATAAAAGTATTCAACTAGAACATGCGTAAATTTCAGACCTTAAATGAAGTTGTAGCTATTTTTTGAACAAAATAATTTCTCCTATTGGTCGCAGGGCATTTGTTTTAATTCGTGAAAAAATGTCAACATTCAAATGGCAATAATGCCATTCTGATTAAATTTCAACGATACGAAAAAGATCTACATTTTTCGACCCAAAAAAAGAAGTCAAAGTTTCTGTAGATTTTTCACATATTTCCAATTATTTTGCAATATGGGCACAATTTGCACAGGAAAGTACAATACTTGGAAAAAATTTTAAGCCCCAGATGGGCCACGTAAATGCATTACTGAATGATTTATTAAACTTGAAAAAAATGTAATTTTTTCAAAAAACTTAATTTTTGCAAAAACTCAAAATATTTTACACAAAAATGCACTTATTCTACTTGCCAAGGACTACATATTCTGAAAGATCCGTATAAAACATCTGTTTTTGATTTAAAGATATATATTTATCCGTTTTTTTTTGTAATAACTAGTACATTTGTTTATCAATTGACATCGGTCTCTGGGGTAAAAATGTTTGTTATATAAAGTTTAACAATTTTTTTTCTGAAACATTTTCTTCTATTTAATTTTTTTTAAAAGAAAAAATCGTCCATATCTTCTTTGATGTCTTCAAGAACTATAGTTTTTTCTTCAATATTGAGTAATCATTATCATCGCTTTTTAAATATAAGTTTTCAACCCGAAAGAAGAAGTCAAAGTTTCGGTAGATTTTTCGCATATTTCCAATTATTTTTAATATGCTCTCAATTTGCATGGGAAAGTACAATTCTTAGAGAAAATTTTAAGCCCAAGATGGATTAAGTAAGAGCATTACTGTATGATCTATAGAAATTTAAAAAAAAAAGTATTTTTTCCGAAAAACTCAATTTTTGCTAAAACTACCGAATATTTTGCAATTTTGCAAAAATGCACTTATTCTACTTGCCAAGGACTACATATTCTGAAAGTTTTGTAAAAAAGTCTGTCTTAAAGATATATGTAGAAGTTTTTAAAAAATGCAATTTTTTGCTGTTTTTTTGCAATAACTAAAACATTTATTTATCAATTGACACTGGGCTGTGCTCAAAATGTTTGTTATAAAAAGTTTAACAATTTTTGTTCAAAAATTTTTTTCTAAAATGTTTTTTTTTAATGAAAAAAAAACTGTTTTTTGCGAACTTTGGATGCTATTTTGAAAATAAAGATCTAAATTCTGCTGGGGTAAAGTAGCTGATCCAATTTTACGGAATTTTTCGTAATTTTTACATGCCTTTGTTTACTGACCTAAACTTTGGCAAAAAACGAAGTATTTTCGACAATTTGACTGGCCTAAATATGTCGATCACCCTGTACTGACAGACCAAATATATGAGTATTTAGAAAAGAATTTTACTTATTTATAAAAATTATAAATATCTCTCTAACTCCGACACTTTCAAGAGGCTATACTTTGAAACATCAATGGAATATTAAGACTCCTTTTTTTTAAATACAATGGTTTTTCGGGTTGTTACGCAATGACCTATACACATAATCACCGTCAATTACAAACTTAAATTGCACTTTCTTAGGTTTAGCTAAGAACTCTTTAACCTGCCTTTGCTGTTCTTGGGCTAGGCTCTGTAGGGGCAGATCTACCGATGATCAGAACCCCTACGCCCACCTAGATGTTCATTTCGAGTCTCGTTGTTGGTTCTAAGACCATTATGAATGGAACCACTCCTCGAATAATGATGGTCCTCCGAGACCCTTGGTAATAGCCTCTGTAACTGGTCACGTCCAATGCTCCCAAAGTTTCGCTGTTCTCCACTGTCACCATCTTCAGTGGTGACCCTACAAAAGCTTCGCTGAAGCTGCTGACAGTGAAGAATGGCGATACATTTCTGATATAGATCAGCCCCCACAGAACCTAGTCCGAGAACAACAAAGTCAGGTCAAATAACCTAAAAAACCATCCTATTTTAAATATTAGCAAGTCATGAAACCGCTATTATTGAGACACTGTCCGAAACAATAGAAAATCATGATTAACTTTGAAGTGCCACAAGGATCTTACTGCGGCCCTCTTACTTTCTGTTTATGTATTAATGAAAGAAGTAATGTTTTCACTTACAGTCTTGAACGCAGGCGCAGGAAGTAGTTTCAGTGAGGCCGTAACCCTGCACTATCGTGACGCACAGGCAGTTGTTAATCTGTTCGTGGGTCTCCGGCGACAGCGGGGCCCCGCCGGACACAACCAGTCTCAAGCTTCCTCCCATTAGGTGCCTGACCGCTCCGAAAACCACCCTGAAATTAAGGAAATTAATCGTTCGGTATTCCTCAATTGCTTTCGATCCTCTACCTGTCGATCAACGGGGTCGAATATCCGCGTCGGGTCCATTTCGTTTTGTAATCAAACGCGAATTTGAATATGACCTTCTTGAGATTGCTGCCTTTGCTCACTTTCTCCTGGATACTCTTCGATATCCTGTCCAAAATGAGCTGGAAATTAATAATCGTTTATTAATATCTTCTCGATTTTTTTCCTCGTAATGCTTACAGGAACGCTCGTCATGCAGGTTGGATGAAGAACCGACGCATCGCCCTTCGTACCCCTTTTTATTTTACTGGACGAATCGATCATCGTCAGAGCGCCCGAATACCCAATAGGAACCCCCGTTAACAGACACACAGTTTCCACTAACAGCTCGAAAACGTGCGCCAATGGTAAGAAACCTATCATTATGTCATCTTCGTAGATGGCCGTGGAATCGCAGAAACCTTTAAGGGTGGTGATTAAGTTTTTGTGTAAAAGTATAACACCCTTAGGGACGCCCGTTGACCCGCTAGTGTACATGATGATCGCCGTGTCCGTACCCGACGGTGGAATGCTTTCTGCAAAAAAAATCATCCACAATTTTTCACATTCATTACAAGAAAAAATTCTTACCGATCGTAGACTCGGCACCTTTCTTCAGAACATCCGCGAACTTAATTATCTGCACTCCGTCCTTGTACCCGTTCAACCCGCTCACGTCCAAGCTCTTCAACTGATCCTCCATATAAATTAGGGTCTTCACTCTGGGGGTGAGAGCCAAGATTTTTTTAAACTTCGGCATCAATTCAAAGCTCGTGACGACAGTTGTGACTTCTGTTTCGTTGATACCGTGTGCGATGGCCTCGTCTCCTAGAGTAGCGTAGATCGTTACCAACGGGATGTTCTGCTTAAAGATACCGTGAGCCGCTATCATCCACTCCGCCCTTGTCTCGGCAAAGATCACGATGTTTTGGCCGGGCCGGTTGCCCAACTCTCGAAGGCCTCGTCCAAAGTTCGTGGCCAGCATGTTCACCTCGGCGAAGGTTTTCCACCTATAGTCTCCCATCACGTACTGCAAAAAGGTAACTCAAGTGATCTACCTACTCTGCGATTGCTTAAGAATAAACAGATAAACTAAAAAGAAAGCATTTTCCATTTCATTCCATACAAAGTTTTACTGTTAATAAACGAAGCAAAACTTTATCATTATTACAGTGTAATTATGAGATTAGAATATTATATGAATAAGTAATGAGCATCAGCTTCTTGCACCTGCAAAAATTATATAAACAAAACACGACAGACCACAATCCACCATAGTATATTTACATAAAATAATAAGGATTTTAAATGATGATGATTGTTTCATGTACAGAAAAGTTTTTTTTGGTGTACCTCAGGGTAGCAAGCTCGGTCCTATTTTTGTAATTTAATTCCCGCCGAATCTCAAAAACTTAAAACGTCTGTATCTCGAAAACGGTTTGTAACTAGTACACCTTTTTTATTTAGAATTGAACATAGTTCAATAATTTGTAATTAAAAAATTCAAAATTGTAAAATACAAAAAGTTAAACAGATTTTTATATTGATAGGACGGTGTAACTAGCACCCTCTAGACGTGATCCCAACACTGTTTGCATATTCGTATTTGCCTCCTCAAAAAACGTAAAACTACGAATTTTCAAAACAATCAGTGCATACATACTTAAAATATAGATAAAAAAGGAAAATATTTTTTCAACTTTAACACCCTGTAGAACGAAAAGGAGCAATAATTGATTAAGGCATGTTTGGCTCAATCACTATATTTTGACGTTAACAATATGCCATTAAGCTGTGTACCATTATTAATGACTCACCCTGTATAAATGCATCAATTATAGCTCAATTTTTATAGCTTCATATGGTCATATTGTGATGAAAAAAATATTTAAATGGCTTCATCAACATTAATTGGTATTAAATAATGATAAAATAGAGTGTAATATATTTAAATATAGCAGTACAATGTGAGTATCCGAAGCAAATAACAATTAATGACAAAAAATTATATACTTATTATACAGATTTTAAAATTTTCTAAAGTACTGTTGACAAGCATTTATTTTGGAAGAATCGTTAAGTGTTGTGGGAGCTCGGTACAATGTTATTATTTAATTAATTTAAAAAATTGTGTATCAACTTACTATTATTACTATTCTGAACAACTTTTTGTATTAAAAGGTAAATGTTACAACATATACAAAAAAAATATATAAAAATAGTCACAAATAAATTTCCCTATAATAGTGATTTTCAATTTACATAATAGATGTCCCCACCTCCGTCATTCTCGCGAAAAGCCACTGCAACTGATTCAAGTGCAATTTTATCACAATGTTGACAATACCCAATAATTTTGTATCGATTCCGATCATCATCATGTCGCTGACATGAGCCGCTTTTAATTTGTCTACTCTTTAGTGTGCCCTTACCTTTTTAAACACCCTACCGTTCGGCTGCACCTCATCTTCCTCCGCCATGATCTCCCTGGTACCCAGGCATCTTTTATTTGGGTACTTTTTTGTGCAGTAATCGAACATTTTGGGCATTGTGTCAATTCCCTCACGCACCAAAGTGACATGGTGGGACTGCGGCTCCTCGACCGATCTGTACGTGATGGATTTGGTGTCTTGTGTGATAGGTTTGGCCTGCACATAACAAAAAAAAAAGATATATGAACAATAGTAGAAGAATTTGCTTGTTGAACTTATTGGTGTTGTTGATTAATTTAAATAAAAGCAATTTTTTTTGTTAAAATATGTTCGTGGGGCTATATTTTGCTTTTGACAATCTCAAAAAAAAATAAAACTGTATCACAAACCTAATATTTTAATTTCAAATAAATACCGACATGTGCACCACTCTTTCAGAAACTAAACTGTTTTTTATTTTTCTTTCAATGTATCTAATTTCATATCTGTGCTGTAAAAAATCACTGCATTAAATACATAATTAGATAAAATGCCGATTATACTAGAACTGTCATTCAGCTTTTCAATGTGATGCAGAACTGTCACAAAAAAATAACCTGCTTATCAGTAACGTTGAAAATTTTGAAGCTATAATTTTTATACCTACTTATGATAAACATTTACTTATTATATTGAAATCAATGTTTTTAATAAAAGCAAATTGTATAACTTCTTAATAAAATAGACAACAAAAGAACGCAATTGCTTTCTGAAAGTGAAGGGATTTAATTTTTATTAGTTACGGAAAAATAATTATCGCAATTAAATGATGACAAAGCAAAATAAAATACTGTTTAGTTTCTATCCACTCTTTGATAGTTGAAAAAAACATTTTCAAAGACAGCTAGGACATGCCATCAAAAATTGAGATATTTTATTTAGTGGATTTTATAAGCAAAATATGATCTCAGGAACTACAATTAAAAAAAAAAGTAAAGGCTTTTTAGACAAAAAGTTTTCAAAATTCTTTACTTATAATAAAGAATGTATCTAAAGTTTTGGACGGAAATAATTAATATGAAAATTTAATTTGAAAATGATCGAAATCAAGTTTCTTATTGTTAATAAAAACATTCCAAAAAGCTGTGAGTACAGTGAGGGCTACTTTAAATGACTTCATTAAAATGTTAGTCCGCCTAAAAACACTTGAGAGTTGAATGACCTAAGAAAACGGTGGTCTAAGAGGAGAACAATGTTATCATATCTAGCTCTGATATTTTCCATTTAGTCAGTTTTTTTAATATACCTAACATAACAATAAAGCCATCGACCGTCGAAGCCATATTGTTTATCCTTGTCTTGCAGATACTCAAAGAGATATATCTCTATGCGTATCTGTTTCTTGAGGTGCCACATATTTGACGTAGGATTGAAGTTAGAAATTTGGTTAATGGAAGCGTTTATAAAATGGTGGAAGGAAAAAAAAACAAATAGAGAAGTACAAAATCTAACAACAAGCAGCGATCGAAGAAAAATAAAGATGCAACAGATAAGAAAGATAAAGGTTATAATTACATAAGAGAAAAGTACCTATGTAGTTTCATTACTAACTAATTGCGCATGGTATGTGAGTTGCATTTCTATAATTCCTTTCATACCTATACCAACAGAGCTATTTACGATTTTAAAACTCTTAGTATAGAAAAATGAAATGTGGTTGGAAGGTCGAACCGTTTAGGGAGAGTCACGATTGGGTTGTACGTAGTGCAAACAGTTTACAGATTTGAGGACGATAAATATGATTAAATGGATAATATCGCATTGCCCAGGCTTTAAACTGAAATTTTCTTAGGATTCCGCGAATTATTCTGACGGACAGAAACCGATTCCCAACGTTTATAATTCTGTGAACACCAAATTTTAATCCGATTTGTTATGCGAACGCTTTTAGTAATATGCGCATGCTTTGGACAGTGGTTTCTGACTGCTGTGCGAACAAACTTACAGGAAATGACAGCTGATTTCTGAAGAATGACGAGTTTCCACCAATATATTTACCATCCTACTGACTATTTCCAGAGTTAAAAAAAAACTACGCAAAATGTCGAATCCATCAGAGTCGGAAGTCACTCAACTTTCAGGTATTTTTAGATGAATTTTATGCATCTATTAGGTATCTTTTTTTAAGTAGATAGGTACTTTAATTTCTACTATAAAGTGACAGCTTTTAAAATTGTTAAGAGTTCTTAAATTTGGAAATAATATTTGAAAGCAAATTATACTCCTTTCTAACGACTTTTAACTTTGCCACTTTGCCCATACCAATTACTATGAACTTCCGTAATTTACCATTTGAACAATTTTGAATTGGATCCAAATATAATCAAGACAAAACCACTATAGACAAATGTCCTTGGTATAGACCGATCGAAATAATTCATGTAGAAAAAAGAAAAAATGTTTCCTGGACTTTTATAAGTGGAAATGGTAAAGGGGATTATAATAAACTTAAAAAAAATAAATGGTGGGAGGTTGAGTGATGATTTGAGGGGTTGAAAAGGGATGAAAAATGGTATTATTGCGATTTCCGGCGAAAGTTGACGTCAAAAAAGTATCTAATATAAAAGTTGTTTATCATGCAAAAATCTACAACTTTTGTAGAGGTCACTTTTTAACATAACCTCAACATTTCCGAGTAAAATGCGGAAAATCGTTTTTCTTTTGTTTTACGTTTTTTATTATTTTCCGCAAAACTAATTTAATTTTGACGAATCTTGGTGAAAATATACCTTTCTGTGTCTTAAATAACCACACATTTTTTTTAGATAAAAAAAATCAAGAAGTTTTCGAGATATTCATTTTTTCCAGTCCGAAACACTTTTTTTCAAAAAAAAATCTACTTAGAAAAATCATCGTATGGATAAGGTGATTACCTAGTACCTAGCACACGATATGGTTCCAATATTGGCATCATACAAATAATAAATAATGAATTTAAGCCCAATATTTCGAAGATTTAGCCAATATTGACGACATATTGGTAAAAGACGGGACATGTATGCAGGCAATATAATTCCTATAAACGGTCAATATACAACTAGTGCATTTAAAAAATTAATATTCTGGTAATGTCGGACCCATATTTGGTTTATACATATTGCCTCTAATAGAAATATGATTCATATCATGTATGTATTAGTCAAAATCTGTCTTTTACAATATTTGGCCAATATGCGAGAAAAATATTTTTCCAATATGTTTGTGCTGCTGGGGTTGATTCTTTGACATAACATAACTTTGGAAAAAATTAATATTTTTATGTGAAATTTGGACTGAAGTCTTATCTTGCTGCTGTAAATGAATCAATAATAAAAACTTCATTTTTTATTTTAAACAACTTTTATGATTTTCGACATTTTTTGCATTTTTTCCAAATAAACAAAAAAATCTGAACGGTTTTTCACTTTAACTAACTTCTTGATTGTATTACAAATTAGCAATATAGGTGATCCTGCTCGGTACACAAAATTATTCGACATAGCTAGATGTTTGTTTGTTGTTTATAGAAATAGGTACTGTACAAATATAGTTTCGGGTCAATGAAATACAGTTCCTTTTGTATTTTTTCTAGTGATGTAAAATAGCATGCTATTTAGTTTTGGGTGATATATATCAAAATATATCAGGCCCGGATCCAGAGGGGGTGGCGATGTGGCGATCGCCACCCCCAAAGCACAACATTTTTTAAAGATCTTCAATTTCTCCAAACGACAACAGGCAGTTAGTCGATATTAATGCAAGTCCCCCTTCCTAACCTACACCTTACGTCATCAAAAAAATAACAACAACAACAACAACAATAATAATAATGATAAAGAAGTGCTTTGCGCCACCCCCAAAACCAGTCTCTGGATCCGGGCCTGCCNTTAATGGAAGCGTTTATAAAATGGTGGAAGGAAAAAAAAACAAATAGAGAAGTACAAAATCTAACAACAAGCAGCGATCGAAGAAAAATAAAGATGCAACAGATAAGAAAGATAAAGGTTATAATTACATAAGAGAAAAGTACCTATGTAGTTTCATTACTAACTAATTGCGCATGGTATGTGAGTTGCATTTCTATAATTCCTTTCATACCTATACCAACAGAGCTATTTACGATTTTAAAACTCTTAGTATAGAAAAATGAAATGTGGTTGGAAGGTCGAACCGTTTAGGGAGAGTCACGATTGGGTTGTACGTAGTGCAAACAGTTTACAGATTTGAGGACGATAAATATGATTAAATGGATAATATCGTATTGCCCAGGCTTTAAACTGAAATTTTCTTAGGATTCCGCGAATTATTCTGACGGACAGAAATCGATTCCCAACGTTTATAATTCTGCGAACACCAAATTTTAATCCGATTTGTTATGCGAACGCTTTTAGTAATATGCGCATGCTTTGGACAGTGGTTTCTGACTGCTGTGCGAACAAACTTACAGGAAATGACAGCTGATTTCTGAAGAATTACGAGTTTTCACCAATATATTAAATATCCTACCGACTATTTCCAAACTTAAAAAAAACTACGCAAAATGTCGAATCCATCAGTCGGAAGTCACTCAACTTTCAGGTATTTTTAGATGAATTTTATGCATCTATTAGGTATCTTTTTTTAAGTAGATAGGTACTTTAATTTCTACTATAAAGTGACAGCTTTTAAAATTGTTAAGAGTTCTTAAATTTGGAAATAATATTTGAAAGCAATTTATACTCCTTTCTAGCGACTTTTAACTTTGCCCATACCAATTACTATGAACTTCCGTAATTTACCATTTGAACAATTTTGAATTGGATCCAATGATCCAAATATAATCAAGACAAAACCACTATAATAGACCGATCGAAATAATTCATGTAGAAAAAAGAACAAAATGTTACCTGGACTTTTATAAGCGGAAATGGTAAAGGGGATTATAATAAACTTAAAAAAAATAAATGGTGGGAGGTTGAGTGATGATTTGAGGGGTTGAAAAGGGATGAAAAATGGTATTATTGCGATTTCCAGCGAAAGTTGACGTCAAAAAAGTATCTAATATAAAAGTTGTTTATCATGCAAAAATCTACAACTTTTGTAGAGGTCACTTTTTAACATAACCTCAACATTTCCGAGTAAAATGCGGAAAATCGTTATTTCTTTTGTTTTACGTTTTTTATTATTTTCCGCAAAACTAATTTAATTTTGACGAATCT